GTGCACTTGCACCGCCACTTTGGGGATTTTATGCCCACTGTGTGCACACTTACGATTTTAGCACATCAATAAACATCTCATTTTAAAGATAAAAAATCTAAAATATAATTAGGATAATCATCGAGTTCTAACATAATACTTAATTATTATCTTTATAAAATGTTATATTATATTAAACCAAAAATAATTTATTTTATTATTAAACTGAAATTAAATTATAATAAAAAAATAAATTAGAAATTACATAAAAAATAAGAACTTTTAAATAGTTGATTTGATATTAACATTGATATTTTTTTTCAAATTTTTATGATATCTTCAAATTTATATTTTATTTATAAATAAAATCATTATTGCTTTATTAAAAACACATAAAATCGTATTATAACATCGACAGAGATAAATAATAAAATAGAACATTAAAATCGAGATGTGTCTCGCTACATTGCGCGAGTACTCTTCTAGTATTCATTAAATGTGACAACTTAAACGTTTAGGTATGGTGGCTTATATAAGAGAATGCATGAAAATGATGGTTATGTAAGGGGTTGTTTGACAGTTGTTGAATGGTTTTTCTGTATAATGATTAACTGGCTCTCATAATATAGTGTATAATGAAATATAATTGTTTACAATAAAAATATGGAGTTGAATGGTTAAGGGGGGCTCGAGATACAAAACCATTCAGAGAGTTTAGAACCATTAAAAAGTAAAAAAAAATTTGCCAAACAAAATTTACCTTTAACCGATTCAGATGTTGTCTCTTAAAGTAACTATTAAGAGGTAAACAAACAAAGTGAAATTATCGGTTTAGTTTATGTGATTTGATTCGTAAGAGAATGTGGTATTGTTACTTAAGCAATAACATTTTCGGTAAGCATTACACTAAGGTTCAATTTGGTCAAACGAGGGATCGGTTTGGATTCTGTTTTATGGGTGTGTGTTGTAAAAATGATCAAGAGACTCAAGATCATTGCCTTGTAAAGTGTAGAATAGCTTCAAGAGTTTGGTCGTTTTTATTTTGCTGGTGGAAGTAGGGGTGTTCGTTGTGCGTTTGGTACCATTTGAGGCCAAACTGCACCGCATAAACTTCAAACCACACTAAATTGTATCGTCCGGTGTAGTTTATGTGGGTTTGTACCTATCGTACTTTATGTATACAATCCAATAATTATAGGTTTAAAATTACATTATAAAATAACGATAAGTGAATGTGGTCTGAAAAAAATAAATAGTTTCAATAATCGTAGATACATATTGCATAATTAAAAATAATCTAAGAAGTAAAAATAAACTTCAAACTAAATTGGACATGTGAGTTGTGATGTGTTTAACTAGTTTATTAATATTGCCAATTGCCATATTGGATTAAACTCAAAGTCCATAAATATTACATAAACAACAAATTATTCTACATATGCGCGCACACACACACACACACATATATATATATATATATATGTACAAAATAGGCGGTGGAGTGTGATTTGAACTGCAGTTTGATAATTCAAAACCACATACTGCATCGCATAGTGCAGCTTGGTAAAAATGCAAACTGCAAAACGACATGACAAAGGTTCTAAATTGCGGTTTACAGTGCAGTGTGGGCGAGTTGGATGAACACCCCTAGGTGGAAGATCGATCACAATATTGGGATTCAACAAGTGAGACTTTAAGTCATCCGGTAGATATCTGGCTCTGTCTTGGTTGAAATCTGCTTTTGGTTTTGCAGCACATTATGTTATTAGAATATTTTATAACCAGGTTGTTTTTTCATAGCAAATCTTCATCTTAATATCTTTTATTTGCAGGCATACAAGCTAGATCTAACGACTGATTTCGAGAAGAATGCAAAACGGTTGTATGTCGCAAGGCCTTTGGCTTACGGCGTTGTTTCGATACCCCCTTTTATGTCGTGAGTCTTTTCATTTGCTGGTGTCCCGAGTTTGGTCTTGGTTATTTTCATTACTGTTGGTCTTTCTCGTCTTTATGTTGGGTTAGTTCGGTTTAACATTGTTTCGTGTTAGTTTGTTTCAGGATGGTTCTGCAACTTGCAGAAGCTTTCTCGTTTTTCTGTAAGTTCCCTTGAGTTCTAATAAAGTGGCTGCCTTTAAAAAAAAATCAAGTTATAACATGGTTCGAGAGGTGTAAAGTGCACATTTATGTGAGCTAACTAGAACTCAATAATCACTAGATGATGTCAAATGGTTGCAGGTTGTAGGAGAACCTCCCCTAGTTGTGTTTGGCAGGCGAAGTGAAGGGGGCGGTCTTTGCAAGACTCGGGTCCATTCTCTGAAGCAAAAAAGAAATTCAAGAGATAAAACACTAAGGGGTCATTTACCAAACAATTACCCTATAAACAATTAACGATAAAATTTAACACTATCATTTACTTATCTGGTAAAATTTTAGTCAACAAAATAATTAACCCGGTAAGAGCTGACCATGGTAAGAATCATTGCTCTCACTTACCGGGTAAGACTCTCGGTCATTCCCTCGTTATTACCGGGTAAGATTATTGGTCATTGTCATATTCATCCTATAAGATGATATAATCTGGTAAACATTTACCCGAATAAACATTTGGTAAATAACTCCTAAGTATTTCAGTGTCAAATGGTTGACATTTGATATTTATCAGTGTTTGTAAATTGCAATAATTGATAGACGATGTACCTACCGATATGCTATCAGCCGATGATAAAATTCATAATATCAAAAGTATAAGGACTAAAATAGTAATTGTCAGCAAACCCATGGACAAAAAACGTAATTTACAAAGCTCAAAACGACGTCATTTTCAAATTTCACAACCGAACCAAATACTGGTAGAACATTGGGCATTTGGGCCACATACATGCATTGGGCCTGGCCCAAATAGAGGATTAGTTCCTACATCCTAACTAGTAACAACCCTGGTTTAGGGCATTTCTAAAACCCTATATAGATGGCGCAGACGGCAATTCATGAATCCAGCAACTCTCAATTGATGGATACCTCATTTTAGGGTTTCGATGTTTTCTGCTTGCTTCTTCTAGTGTTCTGAGATTTAGCTGCGATGAAGAGAAACGAGGAAAAGTTACGATGATTGCGTATCGATTTCGCAAGATGATTCACTTCTTTCTTAATCTGGTTCGTATTCACTGAGCAAATTTAATTTTCTCAATTGTGTTTTAGATCGATTGATTGATTGAAAACGAAGGACCTATGGAGGAAGTGCTATCGTTAGAAATGCGCTTTCGGCCAAGTTTGCCTTCGAATATCGAATTTTTTGAATGCAGATCTTCGTACCGGATTCTTTTCGTTTCCGGTTCGGTTACTTTATTTCGAGATCTAATTATTCATACATTTTGTTGTTACTCAAAGTTGAATTTCATTCGATCGTTTTTTTTTTGCTTTTAGCAATTGCTCTTAATGATTTAACTACTTTCTACAGATTCGATAATTTTTTCTTCCTTGTAATTAGAGCAATCGATTCCATTATGGGTATCATTATTACTTTTTGCTAATCGAAGTTTTTTGTTTTGGATTTTAGGCAATCAGATCATAATTATGATACATTTCTATTTAAACTTGACATTCACTCCTGGACTTTAATTCATTATTTTGCTTCTATTTCCAGTTTTAATCAAATGGCAAGTCTTTTGCGGCATATTTTTTGGATCAAATTACTTCGGTTATCATAGACCGTCTTACTAGAAATTTTTTGTATAGCGAATCGAAGGTCCCAGCAGGGAGGTTGATTTACTCTAAACGAGTCCTCTCTAACACATTAATTTACCTTCGAAAATATATTTGCCGAATCGTAGGATGCTCCGAAAGTTTCCATTTTGGTGATATCTTGAAATCTCGGCTAAATTGTTGACAAACACAATATTATATCAATTTGAGTTGTTTGGTAGCTTGGTCCCTGTGTTTTTGTGGTTTTTATTAATGTGGTCCCTGAACTTCATTTGTTACAGATGGCTTGTTGTATGTTGATCTATAATAAAAATAAATTGATCTCTTCGATAACGACATCCACTTCCTCTGTTAACTTTGTGGGCACTTTTGTTCTCTTCCATTTTTTTTATTTAGGGGGACCAATTTTGTAAAGTCTACACAAACTACAGGGAGTCTAAAAATTGCAATAAATATTTTGAGTTTATTAAAACGATTACTTATTATATTTTGATCTATATTATAAAACATTTGATAAAAAAATTCAAAATTATTTTTATGTATGAAGTATTATTTAAATTACATAAAATTTAAAATTATAAGTAAATTATATGTAAATATAATTTATTAAATCTTTATTTTAAATTTGTGTAGTTAATTATAGATAAATATAAATAAGTATAAATATTTTATTTTAAAATTATTTTTATGTATAAAGTGAAACATAAAAATAGTGCAATATGGCGGAAGTCATGAATTTTAACGGTTTTGAAGGTTTTAAAGTTTCATTGGTTTTATTGAAGAAGATTTAACGATGATATAAGTTACACTTGGTCTTTATATATCAATACAATTTGAATAAATAAGAGGTCTGGTTTGAATTATTGTCTATTGATGAAAAAAAATTGTATGATGGTTTAAAATCCAATGTATTTAAACGCCTCACCAAATGTGTTCGATTTACATCAATAACAAAGAATCAAGAGATCGAGAGTGAGACCGAGAGTTTTAGAGCTATTAAATGAGAGATGAATGAGAGAATTTTTAATAACTAATGATAAAAATCAGTTTGAATCTCATCTTGGGGTATGAGAAGAAGATGAAGAGGTATGGGAAGGTGAATGCATGAGTGAAAGGTGTTAAAAGTATATTGAAAACAAGGAAAAAAAAAGTAATAAAAATGTGTATTGATAACTTGTATTTTGTGCATTAGAAATTGATTTTAAGATCTTTGATAAATTCAGTTTATTAGGTAGTATAAATAACCATTTAACCCAAAGTCTTAAAGTAGAAGTCTTTTAATATTAGGTACAACCATTTTTTGCAAAATTTTAGATCTTTTAATTGTAGCTCATAAAGCCTGATGTATAAGTTTTTGATGCATTGACTTTAACTGCAATGGTTAGACCTTGCTTTTTTGTCTTTCTCCATCCATTTCCAACATTCCCCTTCTGCATTGAACCCTAAACCACCAGGAAACACGAACTTTAGGTTTCAAAATCCACCATCTTTGCCTATTTAATCAAATCATATGCTCCTGCTTATACATCATAGCCTCACAAATACACTTTCCCACTGGAAACAATATTTTATCAAAGTTTTGTTTGCCTCTAGGGTTTTAATCTGCACGTAGCACCCCGGGCTTCTCTGAAATAACTAATTGGATGAAGAATAAAGCCCCAATGCTCGTGCTAAATCAGATTTATTGCCGTTAAGTGTTGCAGTTCAGCCTTTTTGTACCTTTTTTGATGGCCGTTTCTGTGTCAAATCGACAGCTACATATTATCAATTATAGGTTAAATTTCATATTCTTTGTCTCATTTTTTCCAGAAGGAGGTATATACGTAAGTATTTGCGTTTTACTGCTTTGTTTTTGTCGGCAATGACTTGATTGATTTATCCGTGCTTCTGAGAACAATCAATGAAGTACATGATATAAAAATGGTTGAATTTCTTGATATGAGCCGATCTGTGTGAAATTGATAGATAAGTTCATTTAAAATGTGGTTTGATCATGTTTGTGTTCGAGATTTTGAAATATCTTTGCAATGATGATTTAATACACAGCTTTAAGCCAGTTCTAGCCTTGAATTATTCAATTTAGATGATTTGATATTTTAATGTCGTTGCATTGATTATATAATTTGAGTGTTAATATTTTTAATGTGCTGATGATGAAATAATCCACATGTATGAGATATGGTGGATCCGAGACCTTGTTTTACAGGGAGAACCACTTGGTTGAAGCTGTATTTCATTTGATATTACTGGATTCAAATGAGGCTTAATTTGCTATTTTTGGATGATTTGATATGTTTATGTTATTGAATTGATTATATTTGTTGAGTTTTAACTATACTTTTTACCCTAAAATACAAGAGGGGTTTTGGAGTATGAAAAAACTCAGAGAGGAGTGTGTTGTCTATCAGCTTATTCTTTCATGATATTAAATAACATCACAACTTATGATTCAAAGCCAAACCAATGTTTTAGAATTGTAATTCATCCACACTGCATTGCGTAGGTACGCCACTGGTGTTTATATATGGTTGGTTATATCTATCTATACTATATCATAACGTATTTGATAAAAAAATTTAAAAATCATTTTTTATATGTTAAGTACTGTTTATTAATTTATATTTTTTTAAATATAAAAAATTTAAAATATAATTAAAACAATCATTGAGTTCTAATAAAATATTTAATTATTATCTTTATAAAAAAATATTTTTGAAGCAAAAATATAAAAAATGAATTAAAGAAAATACTCAAAAAATGTGAAATTTTAAGTTGTTGGTTTGGTACTAATATTAGTATATATTTTTTGAAATTTTATAATATCTTTATATTTATATTTTATTCAAAAAATTATCATTTTCTTAAAAGCACATAAAACTGTTTTATAACATCGATTGAAACAAATAAAACAATATATTAAAATTGAGATGTATCTTGTTGCATTGTGTGAATACTTTTTATTTAATTCAAACATGTGGTTTTATTAAGTTGTATTTATATACAATTTATTTGTAATCTTTAATTTTAAATAATATGAATCAATAAATAATATTTTATGGATAAAATATTCTCTTTAAAAGTTTTTTCAAATGATTTATAGTATAGATTATACTTGAGTTTAGTTTTAATATACAATATATTTTCCATCCAAAAAGTACATATTACCAACGTCTATGTGTGCGTATGTATATATATATATATATATATATATATATATACATGGGGAAGGGTTCAAACGAGAACCCCTGTGATTTACGAGAACGCAAGAACAACCCAATAACCTCATATTGTGATAAAAAATAAAATTAAAAGATTTTTTAAATTAAAATTAAAATTTAAAAAGATTTAAAAAAAATTAAAATTAAAAGGGTAATAATGGAACATCAAATCTTTTAAACACGATCATTATTATCATTAGTCTTATCAAATCTTTTAAACGGTTACGAAATAGGTTAGGATTGTACTAGGTGTGATAATCATGTGATAGGGGTGTGATAATCATCATTATACATCATTTGGGTTATCGTTTTGGTTGATAAGTTAAAATTTTGGTGTAATCATGTGATAGGGGTGTGATACTTATGTGATAGGGGTGTGATAATCACCGTTATACATCACTTGGGTTAACGTTTTGGTGTCATCATGTGATTTGAGTGTGATAATCATGTGATAAGGGTGTGATAATCACTGTTATACATCACTTGGGTTATCGTTTTGATTGATAAGTTAAAATTTTGGTGTAATCATAAAATATGAGTGTGATAATCATATGATATGAGTGTGATACTTATGTGATAGAGGTGTGATATGAAGAAAAGATGTTAAGCCATGGAGATTATCATGAACGAAGGAGAAGAAGATAACTACCAAGAGAAAAACGTGGMACGTGAAAAGATAATTATGGTTAATTAAAATAAAATAAAAATTATAAAAATTACTTAATTACATTATTGTCCTTATTAAATTATTTATATATAATAAAAGTTAATTTATTAATTAAAAAAGTTTGAGGTTATTGGGTTGTTCTCGCGTTCTCGTAAATCACATGGGTTCTCGTTTGAACCTCCACCTATATATATAGGGTATATTTCTTTTACAACATTGTGCATTTGTACAACTTTTGCAACCCAATTAATTGAGATATTTATAGAAATGATTGGAGTTCATTTATTATGATTTTAATATTTATGGAATATGAACAAAGTTTATTAATTATGATTAATAGTTTATATTAGGAAACAATTAATTGATTAAAAATTGAATGGTTGAGATGAGGGTTGTATAGGGTGTAGGAATGACAAAGAGTGTAGAATATATATATATATATATATATATATTAGTTGTGTACTCGCGCAATGCGGCGGGAGCCATGGATTTTAACGATTTTGAAGTTCCACTGGTTTTATAAGATAAGATTTAACGATGATATAGGTTACACTTGGTCTTTACTTATTAATACAATTTGAATAAATAAGAGCTATGATTCCAATTACAGACTATCGATGAAAAAAAATTGTATGACATTTTAAAATCCAATATATTTAAAATCCAACATATTTAAACGACTCCACAAATGTATTCGATTTACACCAAGAGCAAAGAACCAAAAAAATTGAGTTTTAAGATAAACAATCAAAACCAATAAAGAAAACTACAAATTTGACATATCATAAGCCATGAAAAGACAAAAAAAAGATGAGTTTTGGAATGAAATTTCAACTGCTTACCTTTTTTCTTGTCTAGAAACTCAGATTAAGGTTGAATTAATACATGTATATATATATATATATATATATATATATAAACCCAAGAACATATTAATTCAAAACATACTATACAGTGCAATTTGGACAGCCTAACCCCAAAATATATAGTATATATATAAATAAATAACTATAAAAGTATAAATCGTAAATATTAAAAATATTTTTTCACAGTATATATAATATATAATAATATAATTAAGTCATAAACTATTCAATGTTGGACTCATTTCGAATGTATTGACGAAACGATTATAATGGTGTAACTTGTTAAAATAAAAATGTATTTTTTAAACATGTTTTAATTGATATACGATTATGTATGTTAATTTGATAAATGTTTAAAATGGAACATTTAAAAGTAAATGACGTAAAATAAATTAATTAATTATAGGGGGTATAAAGTATAAATTTAAAATTACAATTAAAAAAAAAAATCAGTTGTGAGAGGGTGAGTGTATGTGAGGGGGTGAGTGTATGTGAGGAGAGAAGGGGTTGAAAAAGTGAAAAAATAAGTATAAAGAGTATTTTGGTCATTTAGAATTTTAAGACTTTAAGACTTTTATTAAATTTGCTTAATAAGATAGTATATATATATATATATATATATATATATATATATGTGAACCAATCATTTTCAGTGTTTTTAGTTTTTGAATTGGAGATGTCCTTAATCTTTTTCATTTTTACCTATAGAGACTGTATCTTGAGGTACCCGACCCTAACGGGATGGGTAACGGGGCGAGCCGAAAAATTATTTTCATACTCGAAGTCCAGGGATTGCACTTTCTGTCCCTATGGTCGGTTATATTTCACACCTCTAGACTACTGAAATTGGGCCAAAAAGCAAGTATACAATACGGCCCAACGTCGTCTTTCCAAGTAATAAGTGGTACAAGTACCG